TGTTACGTATTCCCAACCACCGACTGCCACAACGTGAGATGTTTTATGGTGTAGGAATAGGTTGGAAGAACGACCAAAACATGGTACAAATCCATGAAGTCACTGACAAGTGGACTTAGCCACGTTGGTAGGTGTAGACTAACTGGTTGGGATCCATGACACGATAGCAACCGATGGTTAGAAACGTTGAATGACATGGCTAAAAATCGTTTGCAATGGCTCAGGTGCATCCACTCTTTGTGTTCTCCCGAATTCTAATCTTCTGAATTCTCCTTTTCTCATTTTTTCTCTTTCCAAATTTATTTCACTGAATTATACTCCTTGAATAGCATCTTCAAACCCTAATCTTTCCGATTACTGCTTATAATCTTACCAACTGTATATCTGTATCGATGTGGTTACAATTATTACGAGTATCACGAAATTTTAGACCTAGGGATAATACCTCTAGTTTTTCTTTATCTAGTTCGACCCTAGCAAAATTATGTACATACCTTTTACAGTCAGTTGAAAATTTGCTTTCGGCCGTTTGATTTTCCAGACCTTTCAGTAGCTGGACGAGTTTCTTCCCTGATCTTTTATCCATAAGGTTTGTAGCATAGTCCATAAAAGGTATTTTCAAATCATCAGCTAAGTCATCTACTGCATACTTTCTGCGAAAAACGTTCATTTTTATATCGTTTATGTCTGAATGCAAGGCATCAATCTGGTTTAGGGAGTGTCGTTTCAGTGTTTTTCTATTGGGGTAGACCCCGTTTCGTCGAAGTGACGTATAGTAGAATTTTAAATAATGACCTGATTTGAGGCATCTATTGATAAATTCAATAGTAGTTTTCGTTTCAGTAGCTAAGCTGATAACTCGATGGCGTTCTAAGCGAATGGTACTGGGTTCGAGTCCCGGAGCGAACACCAACTCCGAGACGCAGGTACATCCAGCTGACGAGTCCCAAATAGTAAGAAACGCCCGTCCTGCATTCCACTGCTAGCCACCATCCATCTTTGTTTATAAGTTAATGATTTACTTTTGTAGCAGATGATATATTTAAATATATGCGTACATCTATATGAATAAACAAAACAGTTTTAAATTAGAATTAATGATTATATGAATACTATCTAGTGTGAATGTTTCACGCTCAAGATGAATTTTTTTACTGGATAAGCCTTTGTCGTTAAATATATATAGTAAGCATAATTTGGGCTTATAACATGTTTTCTTGTACACTGTGATAAATCTCAATATTATAAGGGGTTTTCTGGAGATTTTTAGAAATTTAATAGTTAAAATTATGAGTTGATGTTCACTCGTGGAATCGAACCTAGTACCGTGCGCTCCTTGATTCCAGTACTAGCCTCCATCCATCCCTACTTATAATGCTTGTGACGCAAAACAATATCAAGGCAATCTTCACAGGATTCACATATATCAATTAGAGACTGATTTATGTCAGTCATAAACATCAATGGAACGATTCAAACAAACAATACCAAAATCAATATGTAGTAATAATCCATAAATAATTCCTAGCAGTTACCATCCATTTATTCTTCGTTCGGATATAACATAGGACACATAAATTCACTGACAATCGTCAGTTATAATAATCTGCTCGTCGAAAGGCATCATGTGAGCAAAAGATACAAGATGATGGTGACATATTTAACGAATAACTGGTCTGCAATACTGCTAATGCATTGTCATCAACAGATTTAGGGTCTAATTTAACACATATTAAGCCATACATCAACAGTTTAAAGGCTCAACTCATAAACACCAAAACACAATAGTCCCTAATATATTGTGTCCACAAGGGAAGTGCATCTCTGATTAGGATTATGTAATGAACTACTAAGCTGAATAATCTGTCAGTGTACTGAAGTGTTTGTGACACACATTTCTATATCAAGTCATGTTACTGAAGAGACTGTGGCCTTTTGAAGACTAATGTGTGTTAAGCAATCATAGTCCATATTTTTCTATATCTGTCACGTCAAAATAAAACGGTGAAACTGGCTAAAACTGAAATCTCACCTCCATCGTTCTGTAAGTTGAAATTTCGACATTTTCAATGTATATACATATTTTTGCGAATGTTCACGGTTCACTTGTATGATGAGATTTCGATAAGTGTTTAACAAAATTGCAAACTTATTATTCATTCCAAGAAACGATATACTTCCAATTGTGATGGGTGCATCGATAGAAGAATATGAAAGAGTCGCTCCTCCATACTCATTTATTCACGTTGATCAATTCGAATCACCAGGGAAACTGGCAGACTATTTGAAGTATTTGGACAAGAACGATACTGCATATAGTGAATATTTTGCATGGCATGGTCATGGAATCACACATGATCGGGATTCACAACCTCAATGTGCAATGTGTCTGCTAGCTCATACACTTTGTGTTTTCCATTTGTATTAGATGCCAAAAGTTCTTGGCAGCGTGAAGTTCTCGCATTAAATTTGGAAATCTGAATGAAATATAATGAACTAACAATCTTGAATTAGATTGAAATGAGGAGTCAATTGAAGCTAGAACTCTATGGAAAACCTTGAAGCACTGGATGACCGTTTCGTCCTAATATGGGACTCTTCAGGAATGCGCATCCACGAATTCGCACCCCATGAGATTCGAACCCAGGACCTATCAGTTACCAGTGGAGTTCAACCAGTTCTGTTGTGAGATGTCAACTCACTGAAGAAAATGGTGTACGGTGGCGCAACTACGTAGACTGGTTGAAGTTAGACAATAACACCATTGCGTAATGGCTAAGTAGTCTAGTTGGTTAAGCGCTTGGCGCGAGACTGATAGATCCTGGGTTGGAATCTCGTGAGGCGAGGTCGTGGATACACACTGGTGAGGAGTCCCATACTAGGACGAAACGGCCGTCCAATGCTTCCACGTTTTCCATGGTAGTCTAGCTTCAATTAACTCATGAATTTGGCGAAACTTATCTAAATGGATATTCAAACTAACAGCAAACATTACACCATCACCTCAATCTCATTGAATGTTTTACAGAAATATGAAACAGAGCTGAATATAATTACAGATTATAAAATAAATGAAGTTTGTTAGTTTATTCTATTTCATTCAGTTTATAGAATGGAATGTGAAACCAATGAAAAAACATTAAAGCGGAGGAATGTATTTGTAAAAAAAATGAACTTCATCTTCTCAAAAAGTGCAAAACAACAATGAAATACAAAGAGTTCAAATGTGTGTACAGCTTGTGATTAGATAGATTATGTGGAACATACATAGTTTCATTCGTTTTGTATAATGAGCTAGTATTGTTTACATTGCAAATGAAAATCAATAATTCCCTGACCTACATATAGAAGAATGTGATAATTAGGAGTAGTTGAATTATAGTACAAATTAGGAATCCTAGAAATAAGTCAATTTACTCAAGAGGTACTAGATAAACACGAACGAATCAATTGTATTTGGAATTTGAAATTAAACAATGAACAAGTACAAAGGAATCATAAGTTCATATAAATACCACACAGCTTATATAAGAATCCAAATTTCTGTGATCAATTCTACCTCCTTAGGTTCATTGTTTTATCCGACTGTGTATTTCATGTAGACTATGTATTATCTAGCTGATGTCAGTTCGTGATGTATTATCTAGAATATGCTCATGAGTATTAGAATTAACAACTGAAATTAGAATGGACTCAACTGGATCCTGCAATTGTATACAATCACTATGTCCATTGTGTACTGAAATCACTGGTAACTAGAATTTGAACCAAAGATTTTCCCACACTATCCTCCAACACGAAATAATGTTGGATCTTCGTATCCCCAAGTTATGAATGATATGGCTTCATTTAAAACTTATCAGATAAGCACGAACGAACACTGACTAGAGTATTCATTGGAAGTGACTTTACGATAAGGATAAATAACAGTTGATATGAAATCATCCAAATCGTAATCCAAATCGATCCTATTTAGTACTCATGCTTTGCATTGAACAAATAATATATGATATGACATCAGGATTTGATTCTTCTGTAATGTTTTCCTCAACTTTATTAAGAATGTTATTACAGAATAAAGGATCATTAGAAAAATTAGCATCTATCAAAAGTACATCAGGTTTTTGATCATGATTAGGTTTACTCAATATATTTCTCTCAGATTTATAAGGAATTTTGTCAGAAATATGTGAATCATTACGACAAACCATATCTGGTACAGTAATGTGAGAAATCTCATAAGTTGATTGATTAGTAATTATTGTCTCACAAGGATTCTGAGTTTCGTCTAACTCTGGTCTGTTATGTGACTCTAAACCGCTTTTCGAAGTCGTGGATAAAGATAAATGATCATCAGAAACACCCAGCTTAATAGGGTCACGATCACAAATCTTAGCATTAGTTGCAGTGGAATGAACCCTACTATTGCAAACCTGCATCGCAAATCCCTCATCTTCTGCTGCCAGACATTACATTCCTGACTCGCATAATATACTACTTATATCAATATAAGTAGCACGTACCACAATACTACATTAAATGAAAACATTACTAACTGAGAGAATTATAACAGCTAGTAACCACTGAGAGATTAATCAAACTACGAATCAAATGTGTTAGTTTGTTTAATGACTCGATAATAGCCTGGACATGTATCATGTGAACAATGATGTCACATATTGCATTCTGATTTAAACAGAGAGATTCTATGATTAGACTATAAACAAACTTTCACGGTATCATCATCATCATCATCACCAAGGAAGTCGAGTTCAAATAGCATAAGTAAGGTATTTGAAAAACGTGTAAGCAATGATGTTACTAAATGTGGTTTTATATTATTTGTAGCTGATAGAAAGTCTCGAAATGAACTGAAAATCCTGTTTTTCCCGCTTTTTTCTGTGATCATGTCAAATAACCAGGAATTTCGAAATATTTAGTTTAGTTAAACTACTTTTTATAATTTGTGAATAAATTTTAATAAATTAAAAGTATATGTGTTATGTGAAACTACCGAGTGAAAGATACTGACCTTCTGCCACCTCCCAACTAACTTCAGGTGAATCAGTAGTATCCTTTAAATTCTCATCTGTCATCGTGTCGACATTCTGCTTAGAATCATCGAGATCATTTGATGCATCTGTTTCGTTCAATTCATAGTAATTTAAAAGTGTTTGTATATTTTCTAGATCCGGACTGTGAACAATATTCACACAACTTATTGGCACATTCAGCATATTTTCATTGATCTCAGTGAGTTCAAACTAAAACAAATTAAGAAAGTATATGTAACATGCTGATAAATGATGGAGCCAAAGTGGGTGGGCATATATATTCTACACTGAAGAAAGTAATATGAAAGAGATGTCTGCCCTTCTTAATGAGTTTTTAAAAAAAGTTAAATATTCTAAAGACACATTGTGAAATGTGAAACATAGTAAACTTAAAGTCTTAAATTGTGAATGTGTATTAAAATTTAGATTCCATCTGTTATTCTTTAAAAGAGAATGAGATTTAAGAAATCACTATCAAAACGTTGCTTAACTGCGGTGATCGAACGAGAACCGGTGCTTTCAACGTGGTATGGTCGTTGGCTTTTTTTATCTAACCAGCAATACATCCTCTGCCAGGGAAGACTTACTCACCACCTTCTCGTGGCCATAGTGTTGTTTACGAAAATGAGAGAACGAAATGCGAATGTCCGGCGCTTTAAGCGGATTCCAAACTAATGGTGCACATGGGCTCCAGGATCCAGAAGGAACAAATGGCGTATGAACCAATTGTTGGTCACCGGCTACCATGCGACTGCATCTCCCTACGTTGATACACTGTCTTGTGGATCAGACCTTCAGGTCGAAGGCTAAGGGGGTGGCCCCCTAAGAAAACCACCTGCATCTGTTTGGGCACTTGGGCAGTATCACAACCCCTCACACATGTCGAACGAGATTTCAAAACATTACACTCTTAGTGAACTATATGAATAATTGTTCTAGTCATGTTAATACTTTTGGTTCCATAAATGTATAGAACTTTAGATTTTCGACTGACGAAATTGACATATTTTAGACCAGGCAAGTGAACTA